GCAGCTTGACTGGCAGCCGTTCTCGCCGGGTAGGACGTACCAGGGTTGCCCGTGGCCGTCTTGGAGATGGGCAGAAATCTGATGTTGTTCCGCAGTTACCCCACACGTTGCAGCAGACCTTGAGCGGGCAAGGGTTGATGTCGGCGAGGGATGTGCCGTCCGTCGGTAGCTTGGACCCGGGCTTGGTAGGGCCACATTGCGCATCTGGGTACGACGCTGGGATGGCCGGCTTGCCAGAGCTGACGCATATACGCTGCTTGAGACCAAGACCACCAGCACAACCATCCCATCCCCAGGTCTTCTCATTCATCTTCTCGAGGTCCTGCTCTTTGAGGCCATGCTTGGCTGCTACAGCCGCGCAGCCCTCGTTGGCTTCGACGGCATATGTAGCGCACGAACCGTCAGCCTGAGGCTTGGGCTTGACGTCAGGCAAGGTGCCGGACGAGCAGCACACGGGGCTGACCGGGCTTGAGCGTCGAACAGAGGTTAGACGTCCCCCTATTGAAAGCTCTCAAAGGCTGCTCCCGTCAATGCCGCAGCGCGATGCCAGCTTGCCGCAATCGTCATTGTCCACGACACGTATACTGCGGCAGTCAGCCCTCTTGCGAAGGCGTCCGGCCGAGGTCGACGGTTCGATGGGAGGCGACAAGTCAAAGGACCACAAGTCGCTATCCTTGAGGGGCGTGCTGTTGACCTCAGGCTTGTCAGACACGCATTGGCCGTTGCTCCACGTCTTCATGACCTTCTGGACGGCGGCAAAATCACCGCTGCTATCGGCCACGACGCCAAAGGTATCGGCTGACGATCGCTGACCGCCGCAGACTTCAAGGGCCTTGCGGGCCGTGGGCGAGGAGGCTCCCTTCATCTCGCTGGCCAGCTTCTTCATCATGGATGCGGATGTTTTTTTCTTGTCGATAAGGCCTCCCGCGTAGAGGCCAACGAGGGTACCGCGGAGATAGGCAAAAGAGATGAGCTCGTCACAGCTCTTGTCTTTGCTAACATGGGCCGACAGTTGTTCGATGGCGCGGCCAACGTCGGGCTTGGTGTTCTCATTAGACTCAGCAGCCGGCGTAGTAAGACCAACATCTGAGATGTCGCGGTCAGCATCCCACGAAGAGAGCAGAGCCGTGACCTTGATGTTGTTTGGAGTGTCCAAGCCGCAAGTGGCGCCGTCCCCAACGACCGTTTCGTTGATACTGCGTCGGGAGGGTCCATCGGGGCCAAAGTTGGTCTCGCCCTTGGCATCCGGGGCTACATACTCTGTCTCGGCGAGGAAGTTGTCCTCGGTAGAGGCATCGCCGAGAGTGCAGGCACGGATGCTGATGACGGACTTGGGATCATCAAGCGGCGTGTAGAGGTTGAAGGAGAGGAGAACCGGCTCGGGACAGACGGCGAGGCCTTCCAAGTCGTGAAAGTGGCTCCATTCTTCGAGGTCGCCGCCAGCCTTGTCGCAAGATCGAGGGCATGTCTTGACGTGCAGAATGCGATTTTCTGAGACTGGGGTCAGGGACTGGGTTGGTGATGCCATGACCGCCGTTGCCGGCAACAGCGGCAGCAGCGGTAGTATCTTCGACCACATGATGTCGAGCTACCTAGTAGCAGGGTAGTCAAAAGTAAGTGAAAGAACGACTATACAGGCAACCTGAAGAGAACCCGATGAAGAGAAACGGAAGAAGAAGATCAAAGGGTAGTGACAGACCAAGCACCGTTAAGAGTTTGGTCTTGTTCGGCATGCGCGGGCAGACCAAGTGGCTGCGGCGGTTCTCGAATCAGTCTTCTCTCTCGTGTGAATGATTTCCGTACATGACCGCGAAGGAGTTGCCAAGCCAGCTGACCATAGACTTGGCTGCTGGCTTTGAAGAATCATGTGAGATTAGACCTAGACCGACCCTTGCCAGGACAGCAGCAGGCCGCTCGCTCGCATTGTTCCGTCACATTGCATCGGAGTGGGAACAACGTGATCCTCAATCCTCGAGTGTAACCATCGTGGCCACAAACATGATCTAGGCCGAGGTTTCGCCCTGAGTTACGCATCCTAAAACTGTGAGCGAGTTAGTGTGTATGCGCTTTAAGATGACCAGAAGGTCAGTCTGGGGCTCTTGGCGATGAATGAACCCCCTGTCGACTCTCAACTGCATCCCCTCCTCACGATGCTGGTGAAGAGGGTCTTCGGATGCTCCCGTTCGCTCCACCCTGGCCAGCACTACCTATTCGGGCAGCTCGTTACTAGCCCCAGTGCTCATCATTGCATGGTACCTTGCTGCTGCCCACGCACTTACTATTCATCCTCTGCAGGCCAAGAGCCGCCGCTGATGTTTAGGACGACGCAACGAGCAGCCAAGCTTCCTTCGATGGTGCCAAGTGCCGAGAGATGCGCGAGTTGCTTGAATCATCCGTCTACTCTCTCTTCAGCCGAAGGACGTGGCGAGAGCGGCCAGTCGAACTTTGCCAAATTTGCCCCCTCTTTGGACTGCAAATGCTTGTTACAGGCCATGAACCGCGGTCGGCTTCATCTCCGCTCTAGACGAGGGTTAAGATGTGGGTTTGATGGCATTCTCGCATCCCCGCCAGCATGCGTGGCACATTTCGATCCCCGCTGCTGCTGGGAGGGAAAAGGCACCGGTCTGTCCGGCGCAGGGCCTGTTCGGGACCTCTCAGTATACCCCTCGCCAAGCGGTTCGAGGTGGTGTTGGAACACAGGGTTTAGATCCTGCGCATAGTCTATTGACCGAGTTTGTCGACATTATGGCAGGTGACCGAGTGAAATTCTGGGTCTTTTGCCCCTGTAAGCCATCGTGGATACTGAGTGGGCGTCGGTTGAACAATCACAGAACGAGAGCATTTCATCTGTGTCGGTCTGGGACGCCTTGGCGATTATGGATTGAGTTAGCCCGTCTATCCAGAGGGAGGCAGCTGAGAAGGTCGCCTGCGGTCAAGACCGCCATTGTCAGCACAAGCAGAGACGGCATGACTCTTTGGTCGTGGAAAGAGTCTGGCGGTGGAAAGAATATAAACCCTGACCCAGGCCTCATACTGGCTGTTGCTTCATCGTGCTCACCAGCTTGAAACAGACTCGTTGTCCACCAACCTCTCTTCTCTTGAGAATGCCTTCTTTCACCATCTCTTCCACCATGCTGGCAGGCCTGCTCCTGATGCTCGTCCCAGCATCATCTGCCGCTCCCCGACCCCAGGCACATGAAGATGTGCCCATGAGGTTGCTACAGGATGCCAAACCGGCTTTCCCTTACGACCCAAACACCATTGCCAAGTGCTCCTGGTGGTGGGACAACGAAGGCCAAATTCCATGTGCCAACATGCCGGCTGAATGGGGCATCAGCATGCAAGACTTCCTCCGATGGGTAAGGCCGCCTCTAACGTATTCTTTGTAGCGACTGTGCTAACACCGTTGCCAGAATCCGTCCATCACTTCGTCCTGCGGAAACTTTCTCAACGGTCGTTCATACTGCGTGGAAGCCTCTGGCGAGGAGCCACCGGTGCCCGGCACGCCGACGACAACGACGGCGCCTGCCACGACGACCAAGCCATCGAACGGCATCACCACCCCTCAGCCCATCCAGGACGGCATGGTCGGCAACTGCAACAAGTTCCACTACATCTCCGAGGGCGACAGGTGTCAAGACATTCTGAGCTATCAGAAGATTACCCTCGCCGACTTCTTCAAGTGGAACCCTGCCGTCAAGAGCGACTGCTCGGGCCTCTGGTCCAAGACGAACGCCTGTGTCGGCGTCATCGGCCATGTCCCCGCCGTCACGACGACGACGACCAAGCCAGCCACGCCCACGACCCCGTCCAACGGCATCACCACCCCTCAGCCCATCCAGGACGGCATGGTCAGGAACTGCAACAAGTTCCACTACATCTCCGAGGGCGACAAGTGCCAGAATATTCTGAGCTACCAGAGGATCACCCTGGCCGACTTTTTCAAGTGGAACCCAGCAGTCAAAAGCGACTGCTCGGGGCCTCTGGTCCAAGACGCACGCCTGCGTCGGTGTCATCGCGGCCAGGCGCCGCCCCCGACGCCGACGACTACGAAGCCGACGACCACGAAGCCGCCCGGCAACCGCGTCACCACGCCGACACCGACGCAGCCCGGCATGGTGAGCAACTGCAACAAGTTCCATTTCGTCTCGCCGGGCAACACGTGCCAGCAGATTGTCAGCTACCAGAAGATCACCATGGCCAACTTTGTCAAGTGGAACTCGGGCGCCGGCAGCGGGTGCAACAATCTGTGGGGAAACACCCATGCTTGTGTTGGTGTGTTTTGAGGATTTGGATGAATGTTGCTTTCTTAAGTGAAGATAACACGAGTGTTGAACTCGGAAGAGAGGGGATTTGTCTTGACGTGTACATATTCGTGGCTACATACCTTGACGTGTCGCAAGCGTTGGCCCTTCGGTCATCTAATCAATGCACGGTGTTTTTGTTCAAAGTTGAATTTGTACTCAACGCAGTGCAATTGAATGATGCAAGTCCAGTGTGTCGAGTCCAAGGGCCAGCCGCGAGTTGTGGCGTCGCTCTGGAGAGATGAGCAGTGGGCAGCGTAGCAGGGATGTGAGAGAGAGCTGTAGGTGACGTTTAGAAAGCTGGCATAAGTCATGTTGTTGGGCGACCTGTTCGCAGGTGGCTGTGTGCTTTAAACGCTTTGCTTCGCCCATCAACTCTCAAGGCCTTGCTTGGTCCACAAGTCAGTTTGACTCTCAAAGCAACAAGCTATCAGCTCACCTCTAGGTGCTGCGACTCTCCGACGAGTCTGATCACAACAGACGCAAGGCCATTCATTTCCGTTCATGTCCGATGACATCCATCAGCATCGGGTAGTGATCCTGACCTGCTAGAATTGCTCAAGTCGAGACGAAATCAATCAACAAGACACTCAATCAATAATCAATGGTAGTTGCACAGCAGGTTGCGGGTCCTTTTGCAGCCTTTCATGATCTCCATCTCACCCTGTTCTTATCGTTGTGTTCCTTTTTTGGTTTCCTTCTCAAATGCTCAAGAGGGGCGACGAATCTGTCAATATGAACGGCTTCAATGGCCACCCATCCTGGAAACAAGTCGTGATACTGTTGCTGGAGTATCTACACCGCCTGTACCCTGGATCAATTTCATCATGACCCGTGTGTTCAAGGCGTCGACTGACTTACATAAACATGCTGTCCCACTCTCAGACATGTTTGACAGGGCCACGGAGTCCGGAGGGAGCCGAGACGGACGTGGAGCGATTGATTGGAGCGAGAGGACACGCGCCGGGTAGGAGCGGCTGTCGTGATCGGAGTGAAACGAGCATCGGCCGGGCGGGTTGGGGAAGCCGATCCACAGGGCGTGCGGAGAAGGGAGCGTGATAAGCCCAACAGGGGAACGAGACGCCCTGGCCCAGCACATTCCGGGCTAGGATCACGCCCTACTGAGGGGCTCGCCGACCAACCTCAAACCTCATGGTACGCCCTCGGCATTCGTGCGCCTTGTCGATGGTTGGGGTAAGGCGAGCTCATATAAAAGCCTGTTTCCTGTACTGACATAATCCTTGATACTTCGACTATCCTTTTCCCCTCTCACAAGTAGCAACCCCTTATCGAGCTCACTTTGACTGATCACACAATGGCTTCAACAGTGACGCTCGCAGATTACCTCTTTGGGCGCCTGCGCCAGCTGGGTGTTGGCTCGATCCACGGTGTGCCTGGAGACTACAACTTGGAGCTCCTGGACTACGTCGAACCGGCAGGCCTGCGCTGGGTCGGCAATGCAAACGAGCTCAACGCCGCCTATGCTGCCGATGCCTATGCGAGGATCAAGGGCATCGGCGCCGTCATCACCACCTTTGGCGTCGGTGAGCTGTCCGCCGTCAACGGCATCGCCGGAGCCTACGCCGAGTTCGCCCCCGTTGTTCACATTGTTGGCATCCCGCCTCGTTCCTCCATAGACGGCCGCCTCCTGATTCATCACACCTTCAACGATGGCGAGTATCGTCGGTTCGCCGCCATGCACGCCCATGTCACGGTGGCCCAGGCCTGCCTCACCGATCCGCGGACGAGCGCTGAGCAGATTGACCATGTCCTGAGGCAGTGTCTACTGTATAGCCGACCTGTGTATATTGAGGTCCCCGTCGACATGGTGGCGAAGCCCCTCTCGGCCGGCAGGCTCGAGACCCCCATCGAGGTTCCACAAGGCGAACAGGACGCTGAACAGAACAATGTGCTCGAAACGGTTCTCCAGAAGATCTACGACGCGAAGAAGCCCGTCATCTTTGTTGACGGCGAAAGCAGACCCCTGGGCATCTGCAAACAGGCCGAGCAAATCGTCGAGGGGACAAAGTGGCCGACGTGGACGACGCCCTTCGGCAAAAGCCTGACCAACGAGACGTTGACAAACTTCCACGGCATCTACCAGGGTAAATACGACGACCCGGCAGTGCAGAGCTTCATCGGCGACGCGGATCTCATCCTCATTTTTGGCCCGCACTTCAGTTCCACAAACACCAGCGCCTGGACCAGCATTCCCAACGAGGACGTCTCGGTCCTCTTCACCACCAAAGGCGTTCAGATCGGAGGCAAGCTGTTTCGCGACGTATCAGCCAAGACCGTCGTCTCCCAGCTCGCCAGCGCCCTCGACTTCAGCCGCGTGCCCTCGTACAGCCCCTACCCAGAGCTACCTCGCGACAAGTCCCTGCGCATCGCCGACATGCCCATGGAACGAGCCGCTCGAACAGTCCGCGCTGTGAAGGTGCTGCGGGCATGTCAACCCCGGCGACATTGTGCTGGGCGGAGACCGGCACGCAGGCTACGGCGTC